AAGTTGTTGGTCATATTAACTAGAACATCATTGAATAAAACTCCTTGATTATTGGAGCCAGATACGAACATAAGTTGTGTTTTAGACGAATTAATATGATTGGTAATATTTTGATTATATTTATTTTCTGCATCATATTTCTTGACAATATAGTATTTGTTATCACTTACAGAAACTGTTGCAAGCCAAGAAAAAATGTTATGTTTCGATGTCATGAGACGGTCAACCAAAACAATAATATTATATCTAAAATGAAATGTTATGCAAAAAACAAAAGAGATGTAAAATTCAATTGGCTAATAAAAAGCGATAAATAACATCCAGTGAAAATTGGATTTAAATTAAAATGATGATAAATCAACATGGAACTACACAAAGAGAAACAAGTAGTTTTTTTTTCAAAGTAAATTTCATGCATTTGTATGACATTGTGATTGTTGAAGCATAGCCATCAATGCCATTGGTTGAAGTTATTTATTCGACATATTATGTCCTAAACTTCTTTGACACGAACAATAAAGATAGGTGATCAAACTTAAGATGATTATGACACAGATGAGATAGAATGGCCTGTAAGTAAATAAAACATATATAAAAACAAAAATATAGTTTAGTATCTGCTATCAACGTAAAGAAAGTTTGTTAGGTTTTTCTCGAATCGAGTTCTCCTCCGTGTAACATTGGAACTATGTAAGTGTACACGACAACTTACTGAAAGTGAAATTGAACTACTAAGAAGCTTACCAATAATCATGCATGTGTGCAAGCCAGTGAACTGGAGTTAGTAAAAGATCAGCAGCACCTGTAATAACACGGCCTGTTTCATTTTTAATTAAGCTCAGCCATTTACTTTTTTGCATATTCGAATCAGGACCATTGTTATTTATAAAAATGGCACCATTATCACGAGCGTTGATTTCAGGTTGATGTAGATCACTAAAAAGATTTATCAGTCCTCGTCGATGTCGTTGTTTTACCAACATGTTGAATTCATTGATTTTATCGTGCTTTCGTTGAGAAAGAATACTACGATTCATGGTCATACCGACAATGTATTGAACAAGAATGATAACCACAAACCAATGATAATAAAAATTGAAGCAATACATACTGATCTCTTCGAATCGAAGTAAAATGGATGTGATTGAGTTGAGAATGAGATTATTTGCTGAGAAATGTTGACCTTTTATACAAGTGAAGAACTAGAGAGACAGAGAGAGACAAAAGATAAAATAATTTCTATAACATTTATCAAAGAAATCAGTATCATGCAGCTATATGATTGGTCTAAACAAAATTTATTTGATGAAAAAAAAAAGAATTTCAACAGAGAAGGAGAGAGACAGAGAGATAGAGAGAGAAATTATTTGTATGCTTGTTTGTTTGTTTTTGTAAACCATCGGGATTCTGAAAGTCGAAAAACAGTACCTATGTCAGTAGTTTTTCCAAGTCTTGATGCTATCTGATCTGAAATAGAGAAGATTCGGTACACTTGTAAACAGATGCATAAAATTTTCTTGGCTGGTATCAGGAAAAATAAAAAACAATAAATTCTACACGAGATGGAAATGAATATATATCATATATGAAAGAGGATTTGTTCAAGTTCCAACTTACATGAAAGATGCTTATGATTGTACACATCTGATCGATTTTTAGTCGATCTTCATAAACAAAAGCTTCGAAGTTTCTTTGATTGTTTGGAGCAATTTCGATTTAAGCTGATCCAGAGTGACTGCCAATTATATCAACAATCATAGAAGACACTAACCATGAAGGATTGCTTTTATGAAATTTTGATCGATGATAATCGAATTTTATATAAAAAAAAAAACAGATGAAAATTTTAAGATAATGGTTATTGTTTTCGTACAAATAGGAAAATGATGGATCGAGCATATGTCTTTCATCAATGATCTTATCTGATTTTCCCTCAATCTTTTTCACATAGGTATATATATCATTGCTTGAATATCGAAATTGCTATTCATTTTTATTTCTTTATGCTGTGTGTAAGAACGTTTGTTTTTTCTTTATTTTGAGATATTTACATTACTTGAATCTTCAAAAAATTGATAAATATGTCATCGTTGGAAAATAAATCTTATCCGGCAACAAAAAATACGAACTCACACAATTGTGCTATAGTACAGGTGAGAAATAAAATTTAATATTTAGTATTCACTTTTCTCTCATTCCTAGACAACAGCAGAAATGATACGGAATTCTACAGATAGTCAGATAAAAATCGACAACAATACAAAGGAAGATAAGATGATGCTAAATATTATTATTAATACTATCGATGAAATGTAAGCATTTATTATTGTTGATGTAAATATTAACATTGTTTTCTTGAGGGTGTGTTATTCACTCAATAATAAGATTCAGAGCAGAATACGACGCGTTTCGAACCTTGCTTAAGGGTTCAATCATCAGGTATCTTAAGAATCTTATTTAGACTACATC